TATCCAGTCTACAGCATCTTTAAAACAGGCAGCGCAGCTGATGTTACAGTTAAACCAAGGGTGTTGGGACGTATTTTAAGAGTGTGGCTATTATTTTCACCCCCTAAAACAAAACCTCAGGTACAGGCTGTACTTGACAATAACACTAGTTATTAGGTTGGCCATAAGGTCAGGCACACGTGCACCTTATAGATTCTACTGATGACTCATTTGTTACTGATGACTCCGTTAGTCGTTGCCATCATAGAATTTTATCCATTCCAAAGACATTTCATTCGAACCAAATTCTTAGAAGAAGTAGACGGCCTCGTTTTAGCCGAAACTTCACTGCTCATTATGCTTTTCAGGAATGCAGATTTAAATTTGATCCCATCCAGCAGTTCAAAGCCAACGGACTCAGTTTTGAAATAGTGAATTCTTTTATAGAATCTATGCGGGTGCTCTTGATTAAGTTTGACTATTATCGTATTAGATGATGAAACCAAGGTCATAAGATTTAACAATGTGGGTCTCCTTGACTTTACCCTGGGTACCAGAGGTTTTTCTCGCGTACGGCGGGAATTTTCGGTGTTGGCCGAAGGCCGACACATCTTCGGCCGTAGGCCGAAGCCACGGCGGCGAAGCCGCGAGAAAAAAAATTTCGCGCGGGTCACTATAAAGACTTGACAGAAACCGGAAACCACGCTAGAAAAGTCTCTGGCATCCAGGGTACCTTGACTTGTGATAAACTCCGTCTGCGTATCTCAAGTCCCATTCAAACCGATTCAATGTTTTGGATTGACTAAAATCATTCAAAACTGTGACATTCATTTGATTAGTCGCATGGTGCAAACACGCCATACTGCGGAGAGAGCGATGTAGCGAGAAAAAAGCTGAAACTCAAGAAACAAATCACATTGTCTGTTATCAAGGTTCTGCTACGATGCTAGGTTTTTCATGTGATATGTTTAAATACAGAGAACTCATTTGTCTCGAATTCTCACCCAACAATGTTCTTTTGTTGCTATACTTTATCGAATCAACGCGCACTTAATTATGATTTGCCTTGGTCGGTGCTACGTTCCGGGTTCGAACATCCGACATCGGTAACATAACCCACCAGTGTTGGGTTAACAATTCTGCCAGAGCTTTTTTTAACGGTTACTTTGTTTGGTTCCAGTTTGAGCGCCCTGGCTGATGTACTAGGAGCATTATCGGAACAGCGCTCTCATATACCTTACCGTAACACCAGACTCACCCATATGCTGCAGGATACCATTGGTAGGTTTGCTTAGTCTAGTGTTAATGTGTCAGCACCCTGCGAGCAGAGGCTATATTTCGCTGTGTGAGCTGGCGTGCGAAAAGTAGCCTCTGCCGACAACCGTTCAAATCCGTCCAGAAATCTGGACGAATAAATTAAAAAAACGGGTTTTTCCTGTTTTTGACCTGTTTAGAGAATTGCATGAGTCTTGCGTAGCAGACCGGAGTTGTCACAATTTTTTTTATTCCCGCGATACTCGCGCCATTTGACGACAGACCTGACGATTAATTTTGCTTGCGAATCGGCTGACGAATTTCGCGCATGCACGATAGAAAATTGAACGGTTGTCTGCAGAAGCTAATTTTCGCACGACATGCAGCTCACACAGCGAAAATGTAGTCTCTGTTCGCCGGGTAATGTGTCAGTTGTGGAAACGTTTAAATGTATAAAGTCACATGGCCTACTGCTGACCTATCAGCGTTATCATGGAAGTGGAGAACATAAATGGCACAGATAAAAGGTCTAATGAATTCGTGGATTTAGTTGTAGGGTGATTGGTCCTTGTCAAAACAGTTACATTTATCTCAACCTTACTAGAGCGCGAAAAAGGGCCCTATCAAGGATCTAGCTTATTTCAGTGAAAACCGGGATTCGGGACTATAGGGAAAAAGAGAAAGAGAGAGTTTCGAGGTTCGGCGAACACAGGATTTAGAGATTCTGCCAATCATATTTCGGGAATTGTAGTTTAAAGAACAAAGATTTAGTAAGAAAAGTCACTTGCATTCTCTCAAATGTCGTTTATTTTGAATTAACCCCCCCCCCCCATAAGAAAATATATGCATAAGAATTTTTTTTGCTTTCGCCTAGGACGATTGTAATACCAAGAAAAATGACAGGAATTCTTATTCAAAACTTCGGGTTTTAAAAGGTGTTTTTTTGGTTATATGAAAGTGGCGAAGAATTAAGGGAAAATATCTAGACGGAATTTACGGGCTTGAGGAAATCTCTTAAGAACCCTTCTACCAAGTTAGTTCTAACATAACCTAGTCATTGTGAGTGACATATTTCTTGTTTTTTTTAGGTGGAGATGCTAAGCTTCTGGTAATGCTCTGCGTTTCTCCTGCCCAGCGGTTCATAACGGAAACTCTTCAGTGCTTAGGCTTTGGATCGCGTGCTCGTCAAGTAGCTCGTGGTCAAACGAAGAAACGCCGGCCTACTTCATTTGTTCCTAACAGCATCAGCTTAGGTTTGTCAGTTCTTTGTGTGTGGTTATACTACCTGCGATCAAGCGGCCCTTCTTCCTTTTCTTTGGCCTTCGCTTTTTCAAGCCCTCCCCATCCCCCCCGAAAAAGAACGAAAGAGAAGGAAAGAGAGGAAGAAAAAAAGAACGGCTCATCGCAGGTTTCCGAGACTTGGAATTTAACAGTAAACCGTCAATAATCCATTTTGGAGATCTCCATATATGATAGCTGAATGAAGGAGACATAAACCAATGCTGTTAGATGTCGACAACGTTTTTTCTAGGCTGCCGCTGCCCTTGGTATAGATATATTTCAACATATGTCTTTATTGTAGTTTATTTTGAAATAAAGTTGAAACCCCCGACTAAGAACCTGCATTTTTCCAAGTTAGCCTGAACAGGTTCTTACATATTAAATGGTTGTTAGCACAAATTTAGGCTATTTAGGCTCTTAAATAGGTTCTTATTTTTTTAAGAATAAAATACGTTAAAACCTCTATACCATTACAATTGCAGTTGGAGTAATAAGGCACCCATGTCTTCAAAGAGGATCCTGAATCTTGACTTATCTTACTCTTTTAAGTATGCAATATTTTATTTGTAGATTTTAGAAAAAAGAACTTGTTTCAAATTTTAGCCTAACACGTTCTTAGTCGCGGGATGTTACTGTAATATGCTTTCACGTTCTACTCCTTAAGCTTTCCTCTCTTACCACCATCGGTTATTGTTATTTATTGACTCTTTTATTCTATTTTTTTTTTTTCAGACCTCAGTCAGGTTGGACAGTCCTTAAGGAATAACGGAAACAATCTTTCTCCAAGAATTTTGGATCTCCGAGGAGGAGGACGTCGCAAATCCAATTTTAATTTTGATTAGCATCACTATCAATTTGATAGCGCTAACGAGTAGTAGCGTTGTTGGTTGTTTCTTACTCTTGCCACAAAACTATTCCTCTAGAATTCCCGTACATGATTAGTTACGTTAAGCATAGTTCTGTGACAATGACGAAAACGGATCAATTAAGGTTTTTGGATAGCTGACCACCTACCCCTCCCCTAAGTCAACATTTATACTAACTTGTCACTTACGGCAAAATTGTGACGTAAGGGAGGGGTAGGTGGTCAGCTACCCATGCAGAATCCCATCTTGGGTGCTTTTCATGCGCAGTTTCCAATTTCGGCTTCGGCCTGCGACCGACGAAGCTCCTCGTCGTACGCGAGAAAACCTTCTGGTACCCAGGGTACCAGAAACCTTAATTGATTCCAAAAATTTTCTTTCCTTCAAAAGTTTCGGTCATAATTCTTTTTGTGCATGTCATGGCCAGTACGTATCCTTCCATTTCTGGTCGCATCGTCATACAAACCAGATTTTTGTTAAACGGCAGTTCAGTTTTCCCATCAGCTCTGAACAGACTGTGGTAGCCATATCACTCAGCCTTTACATTCTTGGATTGCCGCTAGTCTTTGCGGTGATTTTATGCAAAACGTTGTATATAATTCAGTCTAGGTGATCGTCCAATTTCGCGACTTAAAAAACGAGAGGGGAACTGGAGCCGAAATGTGTCCCGCAATTGTTTCTGGGATTGTTAGTGGGGACGCGCTGGTCAGCTATTGGCCAATTTTTCCCCTGCTGTGCCTAGTAATAATCCCAGAAGCCTTTGCGAGAGTCAACCCTTCCTAGCAACTTTCTCGTTTATAAAGTGGCGCATTTAGTTAAATGATTTTTATAACACAAGTTTTCGTATTATTCATAATATTCAACGATATACTTGCAGCAAGTGACTGACACTCACTAGCAATTTGTAGTAGAGAACTCTCGATGAAAAAAAGAACCCGACGTATAAATGCCACCAACAAAAACGACAACAACAACAAACTGTATCAGACAGTACTGAAATGTATAAAAAGTCGTCAGATGTATTACTAGTAAATCATGGGAATATCATTATGACAGAATTTTGTCACTATTCATCGCAATTTTTTAGTCTTTGTTTTCCAAGCATAAACATGTTATTTTAGTGTCTGGAAGTTAATAAATTAAAGCAATACATGTATGACTTCCAGAAATAAAGGCGTTGCAGGGGAGTAGCTGTCTGACCGCGCGATACGCACATGCGTACCTGGAAAAGTCGAGGGTAAAAAAATTAATATATTGATTTTATATAATAAAAAGGCGAATTAGTATAAGAAAACACCAAATGCATTAAGAAAGTACAGTTTTCCTTAATTCATTTAACTATGCGTGTTTCTCTGAAATATTCTTTTTCTTAAACAACTGACGTTTCTTTTTTACACTCGAATGTCGGTTTCCAGGGAAGCGACGCGTGATTGACTGATATATTTCGAGAAAAGGCGGGGAAATTGCGGAGAAAGCGGCAAGCTAAATGTGGATGTATATAAAAGCATGAAACGTTGTCAGGTAGGAGACAGGGATTGAGAAAAGTGTGCGTACTTCTGGGAAAATCCTGGCTACGCCCCTGCAACAGCTGCATCGGAGGGAAGCAAACAAACAAACAATGAACTATTTATCCTTCCTGTTTTCCTGGTTACTTTTCTCTGACACTGTTGTGCTTTTTATTAACTTTTCCAAAGGACCAGGAAGCCTGTCGTATCCAAACAGTTTAAAGTCCAACTCAAAGATTTCATACAACTGCGATATCTCGCTTGTGGTATGCCCGGAGTAATATTCCGGCATGTACGGTTGTGTCTTGGACGGACGATATTCGGGAAACTTTACGTAGTCATCAACACCAATTATGTTCAGAAGCCGTCCTGCTTCCTCGAACAAGTTTTTAAAGTGTCCGATGAAGTCGAATTTCACTTCACATGGGCAAATCTGCTCATATGAACGCCAGTGCTGGTTAGTTTGAAGAGTCGTTTTGTTTCTAGTTAGAAGCTCGCGCCTTATAGAGGCTGAGAATTTGATCTTTTCCCACAATTCTTCGTTCTCAGGATAGATTAATCGGAACCACTTTTTTTTCTTTTTACCTCTGTAAGCTGACGCCAGTCTCTCGAACGGGTGACGAACAAACATGGCCTTGTAGTAACTGTCTAAAATTTCTTTTCTTTCACTAGCCACTTAAACAGTATTCTCCTGTGCGGGTTAAACCCAGTAGCTTTTCCCATATTTTCTGCAGAGTAAAGAACTCTTTTCCAAGTTGCACGAGAGACTTTTGGGTTGAAACAAAATACAAACCTCAACTTTTCAATTACAATGAAGCGGGAAAAGTCGGCTTCTTCAATGTAAAGAGGGTTTTGTGGTTTCCTGAAACACTGGTCTTGCAAGAGTTGTTTTGTTCTCAGCATAAGGAAGTTCAAAGATAAAGGTCGGTCTGTAAAAGGCGTATTATTAAGTCCTGGAGAAAAACTCACAGTATAATCTCAGCATTTTCGGAATAGACCTTGTCACGGTTTTCGACGCCATCTTGACGAATAGGCAAACGCGTGAGAAATTACAGTGTTTGTATGAGAATCTAATGTCGAATAATTTCCGTAGAACGGCTGTTTTGAAAAACAAGTAATGAATTGTAAACTAATGCTTCACTCTTAAGGATTCTACTGAAAAAAAAAAAACGATATACTCGTAAAGAGGAGATCGGGGGTGTTACAAGTTATGGCAAACATAACCGATTGTCCTTTTAAAATTATAAGGAGTTAAACGAAATATTTTTAGAGCTCGTTATTTTACCTTACCAACACTGGACTCATAACTTCTGTCTTAGTAATTGAAATAATCTTCATTGCATTTATTCAATTTAATTTTTTTTTTAAATTTGTTTATTTGAGCAACCTCAGCTTGTAACTTGTCAAATGATAAGTTGCTTTCAATTGGTATTTAGTCACATACGGACTTCATTTTCCACAAATTATCTGTTATTGTTTTTATTGGTCATGATATTTGCAGCAGCGAAGGTTTCCATTTAAATCTATGCAAAGTACAAGAGCTAGCTATTCCTCACTCTTATCGTAACAAACTTTCCTTCTTATCAAATCCACCAAATTAATAATCAGCGTAAAACTTATTATCCATTGCACGAAAAAGGTTATTTTTCTTCTATTTCTGGCGCTCGCCTGTAGTTAAGGCAATGGTTGTTAAACGGACTTCAGCCTCATCCCTGAGCGCCCATTTGAAAATGCAGGGCTCGATTTATTTTCAAGACACTGACAACGAAAATTTTCCATTCGTCATGTTTTCGTCAGGTCTATGCCACAAGGAAACTCAAAATTAAAATCGGACAAATACTTTCACATGAATTCCCAAATATTCATAAGCCCCCCACTCCGCCCTCCCCCTCGCCCCCCTTCCTCCAGCTTCGTTTTACATCTATAGTAGTGTGTGACTCTGTTCTGTAACGATCTTTTAATTCATAACAAGTCAACTACGCCGAAACGTTGTTATTTAGTTCGTAACAATATTCAAAAATGTATTTTTATCTTATTGTAACATTATATATAGAACATGTAAGTATATTATATTACATCTACAAGTACAATGTCTGTATGGTTACCGATAATGGTATTGACCGTTATCGGCTTCGGTGTCCACAATCGCTGGAGTAACTGTCCCAATAAAATGAGAACGATGTTCCTGACTCTTTGACAGGTTTATTAGAAAAAAAAAAAA